TCATAATTTACTGATCAGGTCTGACTGTTTAAAATCTAAAAGAGAAATACCATGGTTAATAAAAGCTGCAGGTCCAAGCCAGAGTTGCGCACAGTTTTTGCGTGTAGAGTACATGACACTGAAATCATTCTCTCCATGTCGAAGCAACATCCTCTCTTCACTGGGAGACAACTCAGCAATGCAGCCCACAAGATGTTCGATTTTATCATTCCTCTTCCTGTAATGTGCACAGTAAATACGTATATGATGAAAACTAGAAGCAAATTAAGTTGATGATTTGATTACATAAAAACGTTAACTCACCAATCTTTTGTTGCTACAATTTTGGCTCCGTTTTGCTCAGAGGAGTAGCGATTGCAAGGAAGGATCTCAAAGCCGCTGTCTGAAGCAAACATGCGTAGGTAAACAAACACCTACCAGGACACCAGAGGAAAAAAATATAGTATGTAAATATTACATTGCATAAATAAGCAAATATGTTTACACAAACAGTAAAATATTAAGTAGTAATATTAAAGCACATTTAATATTAATATTGTAGCAAATAAACATTAATATTAAACGTATATTTAAATAACAAGCAAGCTTTTAATGTTTAAATATCACATGTATAAACCATTTAAATTTATTTTTTTATTTTTTTTATAAAAAATCAATTAAATAAACATTTAAATATTCATATTTATGTATTTAGAGCAAATATGTATATGTGACCAGTGCTGGCAAAATGAGTCACAATAAGCAATTTTTCACAAATGAGTTATTTTCACATTCTCCATTAAAAGACCTTCAGAATGATGTATGATTTGACGAAAAATGACTGAGCTACACCTGTTTGAAGTCAATAGAGCCAGCAAAGTCAATTTTGAGAAAAATCGAGTTACAGTTTTCTGAAGGTTCCAAAGCAAAATCACCTGCAACGTTGCATCTTTTCCTCCACTTCTTTTCTTAATAATAATTACTATATTAAGTCACAATATAGCTATTTTTATTTTATTTTATCTTTGTTATTATAAATAAGAACAGAAAAAAAAACAGTAGAACAAATAAGAAAAAAAACCTTACCTTTTTCATTTTACAACTAAACAAGAGCATTCAAGAAAAACAAATAATCAAATGTAAAAATCCCTTTAGTGTGTTCATTACAAATAAACTGAATATTAAAACTACAAAAGCAGTTCAAGCAGTTCAGCGAGTCTTTTCTTTTATTGTTAGATTAACATTACTGAGACAGACGGATCTAATAGAATGTTACACATCAGATGTTTTTCCCCAACAGTTCCCCAAACGTTCACTTAAGACATAACAGATTATGTTTGCGTGAATACTTAAATACTGTAATTCTGTGTATGTGTGTATATTTATCGGGATCCCGCACAGTCGGAAGCACCTTTATGCACGCGCTTTGGATGACAGTCAACGTGAGAAGCAAGCAGAGAAAAGGTACTCCTCTCAGAAAACGTACAAATAAAGGTAATTAAACATCTAAAATTATTATTTGGAGCATTGGGAT